ACAGCAAATGAACAGGGTTTGGGGCTTAGGGCTTAGGGCTTAGGGTTTAGGGTTTAGGGTTTGGGGTTAGGGTTAAGGGTTTGGGGTTTAGGGTTTGGGGTTTAGGGTTTGGGGTTTAGGCTTTAGAGTTTTGGGATTTCGAGGTTAGGAATCGCAGGTGGAAGCTGAGGCATAAAATTTAAGACGGGCGATTGGTGGTTGTGTTTTTTTTTGTTATTTAAGCGTGCACTAGGTCAACTTGGAAGATGCCGAGGACTGCGTTTGACACGTGGCAAAACAGCGTTTGTCCATCACTTGCAGCAAATTCTCGTCCAAAATACAGCTGAAGATTACATTCGCCTTTTGATAACAGATGTTTCCAGAACAAAGGAATCATATCCGGCCCAATTGGAGGGCTACTAAGTTGAGAGTGGCATATGATCTTTTGAAAATGAAGGATGTCCTTGAGGAGGTTCTAACGAAATGCACAGATGGAGGTGCATTCTACTGTAGTGTGACAAGGTGTATAATGGGATGATACAGGTAATCATTGAAGCGTACATTATCCCAAAAGCCAGATGCAGTTGTCAAGATTGAACGGCATGTTTCGAATCTTCTTACATGCTTGACACATTGACCGACGCTTTAAGCACATTTGCGAATTTCCGGGTGAGTCTGATGACATGCAGGTCCGTGTTTTGATTCTGGTGCTTATAGGACATTGGAGCAATGAGTATATGAGCTAAAGTCAAACCTCCTAGTATCCCCCTTAATAACCCCTATAAAGATCCCTATATAATCTACTAGCCCCCCTTGAAGGAGTTCATACTTTAGCCCATATGGATCATTATAGAGGATTCTATAGGAACTATTGCAGGGGTCCACTCCCGCGCCAGTAAGTCAGAGGTGTTAGGGTTTAGGGTTTAGAGTTTAGGGCCGTTACATTCCCCCTACATATCCCTGTATCTTTACATGTGCCCATGAATCCTTATGCATCCCTATATATCCCTATACATCCCTATATATCCGTCTGTATCTCTATATACCCCTACATCCCTATAGATCTCTATATATCCTTACGTATCTTAGTAGATTCTCCGTAGTGTCCAACAAGCTCTAAACCCTGAACTCTGAAGTCCAAACCCTAAACCCTAAGCCCTAGGCCCCACGGGCTTAAGGATCCGGATCCGGAGTTCCAAAAAAACATGGCCGACTCTGGGTCGGGCTTCGGGTATTCATGCCTTCCCCCGCCTATGAACCCTCCTCCCCACCCCCCGAAGGCGGATAATTTCCGAAGCTTTTGTGTAGCAAGACTGTTTTGGGGGCATGGCGGGTGCAGAATTAGGGGGAGGGTCTGACAGCCAGTCACGTGGAGCAGCTGTGGAACAGCTGTGGTAAACTGTTTGGAAGCTCAGAAGCTGTTGTCTGCATCCTTGGCATCCCCTCACACCTTTATCTGTCTTTTCTTGCCTTTGGTTAGCTGGGAATGAAGGAATGGAAAAGAAAATGGAAACTGCCATACTGGGTTCTATAGGGATTGCACGGGACTGCTAGAAGGATCCATTCCTTCATTCCTAGCTTAATTTTGGGGATGCGGGGCACACAATGTGGGGCCTACCTCGGATCGAGTGTTCGCGGAGCAGGAATACATTGGGACATAGGCCCACGTGACCAAACTGGCTGCCAGCTACGGTTCGCTCCAAGCCTCGATGCAAATGGCAAAATCCAGATCCTGCGGACTTGGAATCCGCATTGCTGGGCCTGCACTCATGACTGTGTGTCAAGACAGGGCGTTTAGGGAGGCCTTGGGTACCTTTGCTTTCTCTAAACAACCCCTATACAATCATCAGCCCTACGTGGTTTATCGTTCTATATTGTTATACCATAAGTACTGTACGTATGCTCCACATGATCGTTGAGCTCAAATTAGGTGGCAGTGCAGGGGATCTTGATATAAGGAGGATGAAGGAAGACGTTGGGGTACACAAGCTGCGTAGTCGGGCAAATCGGACAATGGCTGACGTCACCAAAACCAGGGATTCACAGAAGAGCTTATAAACCCTAAACCCTAAACCCTAGGGTGTACGGCAGGCATCCGACGGGCCGGCAGAATTTCCTTATACATCCTTCCGGAAGCTCCAGCATGGGTTCTCTTGTTTTGCCTGAAACGCAGCAGTCTAATTGCTTGGCAAGCAGATTTTGTACGTACCTCATGGTAGTTTCCCTAAATTGGGGGATGCCAATATAGACCCCAATATACTACAACCCTTATTATGGGGAACCCCACTAAGGTACCCATAATTTTGGGAAACCCCCATGTATCTCCAGCACATCAACCAAAACCCTAAACCCTTATAGTCCCCCTTAAGTAGATAGGATATGGGGTATATGGGGGATCTTATTATAAATTCTATCTATTCAGGGGGACTACAACCTAAAACCATGAACCCAACAGGAGCCACTCGCGGTAATGCCAGATGTGCAGAACCGGATCAGTGGTAGACTGGAGGAGTCGACAGGATCTTTCGGACAGAGTCGCGCAGAATGAAAAGATTTAGCTACTGGGAGTAAGTTGGGGATAAGGGAATGTGCCTTATAAGGATTATGTACGGATCATGTTTCTTTACTCCATACTAACCACCAGCAAGTTAAGGGTGAGGGTTCAGGGTTTGTTTTAAGGTGTAGTGTAATCCCGCAAGCTACAACATGACCAGCATTTCAAAGTCCTGTCTCGCAGCACCAGCCCATCAACTCTCCACCACCTAAGTTCCCTGTCATCTTCTGGCAAGACCCAGTTTAGGGTTTAGGGTTTAGGGTTTAATGTGCTGGAAGTCACATCGCAGTCGGGCAGGACTTGCATGGAAGCCTTTGCTTTGGTAGCTTGCAGTTCCCCTTTCTGTGCAGAGTCGTCTTTTGGCAAGGTCACGTGAGCTACTGTCAGACTTTGGAAAGGTAGTTCTCCGGGTGTATCACAGGTTTCCCATATAGTGGGTCCATTCTCATAAACTTCTGATAGTTTCGAAACCCTAAACCCTAAACCCTAAACCCTAAACCGTGTGCTCCTTAGTCTTGCGACCTTGAGGAGCGTAGCTCACGTGGAAAGCCGGCAGCACGTCACCCAGGTGGTTTCCGAAAGGTCAGGTTAGGAACAATGAACAATGATTCAGGACCATGTGAGCCATAATCTAGACTCCTTAAAGGGTTACATAGGGGAGCAGATAGGTGACTACTGTAGCGGATATTAAGGGGGATACTAGGAGTTTAGACTATGGCTCATGTGGGCATGCCTTCGAGCACTCTAGACGCTAAACCCCTTGTTTTCCGCAAGTGGCGCGATTTTGGCCATGAGATTTTTATTTTTTTATGTGGCCCTAAACCCTAAACCTCAAACTTGGTTTTTGAAGATTCAGACTCGGAATCTGCTTCAAAAGGGCACCATGTCCAACAGTTGTTGGGCTGTTTTTTGGAGTGGGAATGCCCTTTTTATAGTTTTATAGTTTTATGCATTTTATAGTTTTATCGTGGTCTTTGCGAGAGTTCAGACCAGCAGCTTGTCGGCAGAAAACGTCGTTTTCTGTGCCTTTTTTTTGGGGGGTTTCCCGGTCTAACCTCCGTCCGAATGGCTCTTGAAATTAGATTGGGGATATCTCGCCATGGCAGGACCTTCGATTCAACCTTTTTAGAACCGTCAGGCTTTACAAGGGGGTCAAAAAGTATAATACTTAGGGAGGACTGTGCGAAGTCCTGAGGCTCTAGAAGGACGCCCCGAAAGTATAATACTTCAAGAGGACTATGCAAAGTCCTGAGGCTTTAGAAGGGGGTCCCCTTAGATAAATATTACTTGAAAGGACTATGCGCAGTACTGAGGCTTTAGAAGGAGTAGGGAATAGACAAGTAAATCATGCTTATAGCCTCTACGATCACCTACCATAACAATTTCCACTTTCTTTTCGTTTCTTTTCCTGCCTTACCGACCAACAACCCCACACCATACATGAATGATCTGGTCACCGTGTGCTCTTGAAACACGAACGTTATACTGGCTTGGGAACGGATGTTCTGGTCACCGTGTGCTCTTGGAACAGAAACGTTGCGACGGCTTGGGCATGGTCACCGTGTACCTTGGAACACGAACGTTCTTATGGTTTGGGCATGGCTGCTCTGGTCACCGTGTGCTTCTGGCTTGGGGCATGGACGCTCTGGTCACGGTGTGCTCTTGGACCACGAACGTTCATATCGTTTGGGCATAGATGCTCTGGTCATCGTGTGCTCTTGGACCACGAAAGTTGTTCTGGTTTGGGCATGTATGCCCTGGTGACCCGATGCGCTCAAACAGGAATGTTGCCATGGTTTGTGCATTGACGGTGTTGAACGGGTCAAAATTGACGAATGCCTCACAGCCAAATCGCGCCGCTTGGCTTGTTTTTGGGCGGGCTGTCACCGGCTATGCTCATTTCTTTCGGAAGCTCTTTGGGACTTGCGATGCGCAGAGTGTTTTCAACAGCCGCTCTTAAGTCTGTCAAGGGTTTTGAGGTCATAGGGGTAAGTGGAGCCGTACATCCCAGACAGAAGTTGAAAGCCGTGATGAGTTGTCATAAGCATTCGCATAAGAGGAGTTGCAAATGTATTCGTCGTGTTCATGACGTGTTGCGATTGATGCGCGATTACGGCAGACATCCCCACACTGGCGCCACACAAAGACAAAACAATGCACTTAAGGATACAGGCCTAAACATCTAAACCCTAAACTCTGAACCCCTCGACCCTAAACCCTGAACACTGAACCATAAACCC